CCCCCCCCGCCCTCTTCGCCCTCTTCGCCCGATCCCCGCCTTCGGCCCTGCCTCGTGAATCAGCCGAGATCCTGAGCAAGCAGCTCCACACCACGGTCGAGGTGCCGGAAAACATCCTCTCGCAGGTGGAGGACAAGCTGGTCCGGCGCCTCCTGGAGGACTTCCACACGGTCCTGCTCTCGCGCGGGTCATGCATTCGCCTGGATACGCGCATGCCGGCCCATCCGCCGGACGAGGACACCGTGGTCCTGCAGATGATGGAGGACGACGAGCGGCCGGTCCTGCAGCTGGACGGGGACTTCCGCGCCCGCGGCGAGCTCGACGACCAGCGCCTCTCGAGCCCGGAGAACCTGGAAAACACGATGCTGGTGCTGGCCCTGCGGAACCCGTACCACCTGGCGGCGCAGGCGGCCACCGGGGCCGACGGCCAGGTGGCCGACCCGCCCGCCGGGGCCGACCACCCATCGCCCTCTGCCCACCAGACGACCCGGTCGAATGCGCGGAGTATCCTCCAGATGCGGGGGCTCCACCAGGACGACCTGCCCTTCAGCATTGGCACCGCGTGCCTGGCGTATGGCGAGCTGGCCGGCCCGGCCGGAGAGCCGCCGGTCCCGGCCCGGCATCGTGCCCTGCATTACCTGGCGGTGCTGGACCAGAAGTATGCCCAGAAGCATGGGGTCGGTCGGGGGGTGGCAACCTCCGGCAGGCCGGCGCCCGCCGGGGGGCCGCCATGCTCGCGGGAGGATGGGACCACCACGGCCCCCCCGGGGGCCGTGCGCCCCGAGGACCGGCCCGTGCGCCCGCTCGGGCCGACCGACCGAGAGAAGTACATCCCGCTGGAAAGCCTGCCGGCCGGGTTCAGCCGGGACTTCGATGTGGCCCTCTCGCTGACGGACTCATACGATTGGTGGGATGGGGCCGAGCGCTTTGATCACCGGCCGGACTGGCGCCTGTCCGAGGAGGACCGCGCTGCCAGGCCGGAGGGGTGTGACTCGGTGTTCGGCCCGCGGCGGTACCATGTGGCGCCGCTGGTCACCCTCGGGGCCGATCTGGCCCGGGTGTTGCTGGCCTCGGCCGAGGCGCGGGACTGGCTGCAGCTATGCCCCGGCCGGGAGCCGGCCCCGGTGCGGGCCCGGGTGCAGGCCCTCCGGGCGGCCGGCGACACGGCCGCCGCCGACCATCTCCAGGCTCTGGCGGCCGCCGGTCGGGGGCATCTCCTCCTGGAGCATGACCTGACCACGAAGCCGGGCCAGGCGGCCGTGCTGGCCGGAGCCAGGGCCGCCGTCCGGGCATTGGAGCCGCCCCCGGACAATCGCCCGAATTCCGGGCTGATGTCCCTGCGGCAGGTGGCTGCCCGCGGGCGCCGCGCCGTCGAGGCGGACTCGGAAATGGCCGCGGCCCTGGCCGCCGGGCCGCCGGTCCTGCTGCTGGCCATCCAGCGCTCGGCGGCCCGGCAGGCATCGACCCTGCTGGCGGACCTCTATGCGCTGAACTCCTTCGATGTGGCCACCGACATCAAGCTCCACCAGGCGGCCCTACAGGCCCAGCTCACGTCCAAGTCCAAGCCCTGATGTGCCCGCCCGATAGATGGCCGGCGATGGTGGGGGCGCGGGCGCCGGGGCGGGCGAGAGGATGTCGCTCTAGACCGAGGCCCGAAGATGCCCGCCGCTCGTGGTGTGTGTCCCGCCTGCGCCCTGCTCCTGCTGCTCCGATAGATGCGGGTTTTGTGCGCACTCGTGTGGGCCCGGCGGGGAGGAACAATACGAAAGAAACGGTCAAGCCGACGAAGGGTCCACCGCGCCCGGCACATGCGAGAGAAGGGCGGAGAGAGAGAGAGAGAGAGAGAGAAAGGGGGGAATGTGAACGTGTATTCTGTGCCGGAGAGTCAGAGGGCACAGGGGAGGCGAGCAAGCAGGAGGGCGTGTGGGAGCGGGGGG